TTCCTCAAGCAGGAGACCGGCCTATAGGATCTCTTGCTTGGGTAGGGGGTTGAGCAACATCTCCGAGCTCAACTCTGTGGTTCTGTAAAGCTTGCTCATTTGTGGCTTGGAAAATTATACAAACCCACCAGTTACCCCTCGGTCAGCAAACCGTGATCAAAGCAAAGCTTATCGGACGGTGTTTCCTGATGCTCTGAGATGCAGAATAGGGAAAAATGTAGACTTAGGTATTAAAGCAGGCAAATCACCGTCCCATACAACCCATGATCCCGGCATGCAACGTGGCTCCATCTGCTTGCGGTTTCCAGCTCCCAGTGCCCCATTTGGGCTCAACATACAAGGAAAGAGGCGTCCCTGAGTGGAGACGGAGCTCCGTAGGAAATCACGAAAGGCGAGGCAGGGGATCAAACTCGATCTTTGCACCTCCTGGGAGAAGGAGGGGGGAGGTTTCCTTCGCTTTCGTGGAGGCAGCACCGCCGCCTCTGCTTCAGAGAGACCTGCCGACGAGCCCTGGACTGACTTCAAATGCTGGCAGTAAACTATGATTAAGCCATGATTAAGTCCGGTCTCTGTCCCTGTAGCAGCCACGCCCGGTTGCATCATCACCGCAGCCTCTTTGGGCTAGGGCGAGGCAGAGCCACTTTATCACGCCCGCCTTCCTACTACGCAGCCCATCCTCCACCGCCATCTCAGCCTTGCCAGGTGCCGGATAGGGGATCCCTCGTCCGAGTACACCCCCCCCCCCAAACCTCGGGGAAGCAGGGAGCGAGGATCCCCGGCCGCCTCTTCCAAATCCCGGGGAAGAGAGAGGGAGGGAGGGAAAGGCTCCCGGCCTCTCCAGACTCCGCCCGGCTGTCAAAGAGGCTGCTCGCCCGGCGTCCTCCGAGGCGCCACTCTAGGACGTTCCTCTCGTTCTCCCTACTTCCCCCCCCCCCTTCAAGTGTTTTGAAAAACAGGTGGATGCTCTCTTCTTTGTGGCAGCCCCTCCAATATTGGAATACTGTTGTCATGACACCCCTCGTCCATCTTTACTCTAGACTGGCCATAAACAATTCCTGCAACCGTTCTTCACGTGTTTTTGTCTCCAGGCCTTTAATCGTTTTAGTTCCTCTCCTTTGCCCCTTTTTGCAGGGTCTCAATATCTGTTTTGTAATGTGGTGACCAAACCTGGATGCAGTATTCCAGGTGTGGTCTTACTAATTTACTTGCTCTTTATAAAGCTATACTAATCCTTCTTGTGATTTTGATTCTACGACTCTTGTTTATACAGCCAAGGATTTTATTAGCTTTTTTGGAAGCTTTTGCACATTGATGGTTCATGTTTAAGTGATTCGCCACTCGACGCCAAGGTCCCTCTCACATTTAACGGTTTTTGAGCCAGGTTTCGGCTAATCTGTATTTGCAGCTTTAGGTTTTTCTGCCTATGTGTAAAACCTTGCTTTTCTCTATACTAAATTTCATGTTGTTGGATAGGGCCCATTGTTCAAATCTGTCAATGTTTTTTTGGATCCTTAGCTTGACTTCTGGGGTGTTGGCTATTTCTGCCAGCTTAGTGTCATTTACAAATTTGATAATTTCCCCTTTTATTCCCTCATCATTCTAAATCATTTATGAAGACTTTGAGAGTACTGGGCCTAAAACAGAACCTTGTGGTACCCCACTGCTTACTTCCCTCTATGTAGATGTAAGGACTACTTGTTGAGTACAGTTTGTCAGCTAGTTACAAATCCATCTGGTGGTGATGCTGTCTATCCCACATTTGTTACCAAGATACAGGTTGTCGAATGTCTTGCTGAAATCTAAGTATACTATGCCTACAGCATTTTGCTGGTCTACTAATTTAGTCACAATGTCAAAGAATGTGGCAGCCGCTTGGTGGGTTTTATCAATCAAAACAGAGCTAGAAGGGACCTTGGAGGTCTTCTAGTCCAACCCCTTCCTCAGGAGACTCTATACCAAAGCTTTTCAACCTTTTCACAGATTTTACTACTTTAGGATATGGCAATATTCGACTACCCCCGGTCGCCTAGCCAGGTATCAAAAACATGACCAAAAAAAGGGGAAGTGATAAAATACAGGTAGTCCTCAAGTTATAACAGTTTGCTTAGTGACTGTTCAAAGTTATAAAGGCACTGAAAAAAGTGACGCATGACCATTTTTCACACTTATGACCGTTGCAGCATCCCCAGGGTCTTGTGATTTATATTCAGATGCTTGGCAACTGATTCATATTTATGATGGTCACAATGTCCCAGGGTCATGTGATCCCCTTTTGCCACCTTCTGACAAGCAAAGTCAATGGGGAAACCAGATTCACTTAAAAACTGTGTTACTAATTTAACAACTGCAGTGGTTCACTGAACAAATGTGGCAGGAAAAAGTGATAAAATGGGACAAAACTCATTTAACAAATTTCTCACTTAGAAACATAAATTTTGGGCTCAATTGTGGTTGTAGGTTGATGTCTATCTGTACACCCACTTACCACACTTTTAATGGGAAACTTGTGCCTGTTTCTCTGACATTAATCTTTGCACTATTCTATCCCTTTCTCTCCTTCTGGTTGACTCAAAGAAGCCGATAGGTGATTGCAGGGCCTTTGGGGAGGGGTGTGGCTTCTGCCATTGAAGTGGCATGGGGGGTGTCGGGGTGCTAGTTGGCTATCTCCAACAGAAATGCTCAGAACAATGCTCGGCTGTAGCTTCGGGGGGGAGGGGGCAAAAGGGGGCAGCTTCACCAACCCAAACGCTGCCCTCTCATGAAAGCAGGATGAAAACTCTGAAAAACGACCAAGAAAAAAGGATCTGCCCTCTGCGGAGTAGGGACAGGGTTACCATGCTCCCTCTCAATCAGGTTTGATTTCCTTTCTTCCCCCCACTTCCCTGCCTCCCCTGCTTGTAGCTGCCTCTGAGCCCCTCTTTCTTGGGAGTTAGCATTGCCAGCATCTCTTTCTCCTGAGCCCCTCGTGCTGGGAAACTGTTTCCACCCAAGAGCTGTTTTAAGGTTAGGGAATCTTTGAGGGGGATAGCCAACTAACACCCTGACATGCCCCTGATGCCCCCGCTCCAAATGCAGAAGCCGCACCCCCCCCCAAAAGGCCCTGGAATCACCTATCGGCTTCTTTGAGTCAACCAGAAGGAGAGAAGGGGGTAGAATAGTGCAAAGATTAATGTCAGAGAAACAGGCATAAGCATGTCACCGGTTGAAAAGCCCTGGTTTATTTGTCTTGGGTGTGTTTCTTATATCTCCTCCTTTGTAAATGGGATTTATGTCCTCATATTCTCCCTAACGAGAAAAGATCCCCTTTCCTTCTACTTAATCTAAATCAGTGGTTCTCAACCTTTTTAATGCCGCGACCCCCAACCAGTCGTAAGTCGAGGACTAAACCGGTCGTAAGTCGAGGACTAAACCAGTTGTAAGTCGAGGACTAAACTAGTCGTAAGTCGAGGACTACCCAACTGGTCGTAAGTCAAGGACTTTCCCTGCCTGGGAGTGCCGTGCATGCGTGGTTCCGCCCCCTGCGCCGGCCGAGGCGTAGCTGGCAAGTGGCAGAGACGGAGCAGGCCGACCACCAGCTGGCCCAGCCCAAGGGAGATAAGGCACCCGCCGGAAAGGGGGGGGAAAATGGCGGACAAAAAAATGGCGGACAGTCTTGCTTGGCGACCCCGGTGAAATGGTCGATCGACCCCAAATGGGGTCGCGACCCATAGGTTGAGAACCGCTGATCTAAATAGAGAGGAACAAATATCCTGAATTTTGTTCCAATGCTTTGATTTTCTTTGGTTTCTAAAAAGCTGGGTAGAATCTCTAAAAACCGTGATTTCCCTTGTTTTTCCTCGGAAGAGGCTGTGATGTGGTGGCTGCTTCTTGGTGGCTGATTTAGAAAGGAAACTAGCAAATGGTAGAAGAAGCTTGGGAGAGAAATGGAGGGGAAAAGAAGGGAAAAATGAACAGAGCTGCAGATGAGAAAAGAGGGAATGGGGAAAAAAGAGGAAGGGATTCAGGATGGATGTTGGACTTGACCAAGGCCTCAAACTGCAGAATTCAATGACACCGAAAGGGAAAATGATGAAATATGAGAGGAGAAAAACGTGTTAATCCCGTACTATAATTTTGTTAAACCGTAAAGGCCACGAGATAAAATTTGAATTTCACCTCATCACACTCTCCCAAAGAGGGGATCAGTTTTCAGACCAGAAAATACACATCCCTCAACTAAAGCATTGCTAGTTTAACCATGGTTTCTGGTGCTGCTGCCCTTGGTGAAGTGATTCCAGTGGTTGGGTGGATGCAACACACGAAGCCGAAAGAAACTGGCTGATGTTGGAGTCCAAAGTCTATTTTGGGCAGGTAGGACCACCAGGTGGAAGTTTTGGCCAAAGGATGCCATCAACCTCCCTTTGGGTAAATGGGGGTCTCAACCCCCACCATGAGGTATTGCTGACCCCGATGAATATATTTACACCCTCCCTAAACTATAAAGGAATAATAGAAAGCCGTTTTAGGAGGACCCCATGTTCAGTCTGAGGTGGCCCAAAGAACAGTGTCCATAAATAACTACATAGGTTGTTCTCTCTGAATTGGAGCTACCTGACATATACAAAGTCTATGGGGTGGGGATCTTTGCTGTGTTTTCTCACATCATAGAGCATCACACACACACACACTCACACACACACACACAACTGAGAAAAAGCAAAAGGCAGGCAAATAGGAAGCAACAGAGAAAGCCGTGATAGCGCAGTGGTTAGAATGCAGAATTGCAGGCTACCTCTGCCGACTGCCAGTAGTTCGATTCTCACCTGCACAAGGTTAACTCAGCCTTACATCCTTCCGAGGTCAGTAAAACGAGGACCCAAATAGTTGGGGTGCAATATGCTGACTCTGTAACCCGTTTGGAGAGGGCTGTAAAGCGTTATATATGTCTAAGTGCTATTGCTATTCTGTCAGCCATGACAAATCTTTCTCTCTTTTCTTCTTTTTCCTTCATCCAACAGGTGGCACCGGGAAAAGTGGACAAAGTTCCAGTTGTGAGATTTTCTGCATTTAGAAAGCCCTGCAAATGAGAAGGCGCCAGAAATTATGCTGGGTGGAGAAATACTTCGATAGAAGGTCCCCTCAGAGGAACCAGGAGAGACTCTTCAAGTGCTCTGAGTGTGGGATATCCTTTGCTCACAAATCCCTCCTTTTGATTAACCGGACGCTGGACATGAGGAATGGATCTCATCTGTGTTTAAAGTGTGGGAACTCATTTCGTGGCTGTGAAGCTTTCCCAAACATCTCCGGAGCCACCCCGGACTGAAGCCCTACAAATGTGGAGAGTGTGGGAAGCATTTTGCTAAAGGCTGGGACATCGGAGCTCCTTAGCGTATCCACCAGGGAAAGAGACCTCACGAAGGCCTCAGTGTTTTTCCAGGCCTCAGAACAGCCCAACTGAAGAGGAACCCTGCAATTGTGTGCAATGCGGGTTTTGCTTTTCTCAAAACTCAGAGATGCTTAAACATCAACAAATCCACACGGGACAAAAACCTTATCAATGTCTGGAGTGTGGGAAATCTTTTGTTCGAAAAACAAGTCTCAAAATCCACGGGAAAATTCACATGGAAAAAAAACCTTATAAATGCTTAGAGTGTGGTAAATGTTTCACTCAAAGTTCATCTCTTTGCAAACATACTAAAACACACGAAGAGGAGGAAAGCAGAACGTGCCTAGAATGTGGGAAATGTTTTTCCAGCAAATCATCCCTGCAACGACATCAGAAAGTCCACACTGGGAAAAGACCCCATGAATGCCGAAAATGTGAGAAACGATTTGAGACTGCTTCCACCCTATTGAGACACCAAAAGACGCACATTGGAGAAAAACTCTATAAATGTGAAGTTTGTGAGAAATGCTTTTCTCTAAAGGGAAGTTTTTTTCGACATCAGATCATCCACACAGGGGAGAAACCCTATCAGTGCATCGAGTGTGGGAAATTTTTTCGTACGATGTCAAGCCTCGGACATCATAAGAAAATTCACAGAGGGGAAAAAAAATACAAATGTTTAGACTGTGGGAAAGCATTTATTCATTCAGCTCATCTTAGAAGTCACTGGCAAGTCCATATAGGAGAGAAGCCCCATAAATGCTCAGAGTGCGATAAATGTTTTTCTACGAAAAATAGACTTTTGATACATCAGAGAACCCACAGTGGAGAGAAACCATACAAATGTCCGGAGTGTGGGAAGTCTTTTCCTTGCCAAGAATATCTTAAAAAACACCAGACGATTCACACAGAAAAGAAGCGTATCAGGTCTAAAGAGAAAAATGAAATGTGCTCAGAATGTGGGAGATGTTTCTCCCAAAGGTCACACCTAATTCGACATGAGAGACTTCACACCGGAGACAGGCCCTATCAATGCCCAGAATGTGACAAGCGATTTGTGGAGTCTGCTGAACTCCGGAGACACCAGAGGGGGCACACAGGAGAGAAGCCCTATAAATGTGGGGAGTGCGCAAAAGGTTTTCTCACAGCAACACTACTTCGGGTTCATGGGAGAATCCACACTGGGGAGAAGCCGTACAAATGTGTGGAGTGTGGGAAATGCTTTTCCCAAAAACAACACCTTGGAAGTCATCAAAAGGTCCATAAAAGAATGAAGCCATAAAGACTCATAAAGTTTAGAAATGTTTTGCTTAAAAGGGAAATATCAGAAAACTCACATGGGAGAAGGTGAAACAGTTTTTCATAGTTGTTCACCCTTAGAAGTCATGTAAGAGTTCCTAAAAGGGGGGGGAGATGGGAAACCCTTAGATCATGAGAGAGCATTTTTGTAATCATCCCTTAAAAACTCTAATCCATATAGGAAAGATGCAGCATAAATATTTGGAGTGTGATGTATGGGTTGCCTGAAAAAATACTCTTTTTCAGCATTAGTGAATTGTTACTGGAGAGAAACTTTTATGAAGGCTTAGGATGTGGCAAGGGTTTTTATCTGATGCACAATGAAAAATCCACACAGAAGAAAAACCTTTACACGTGTGTAGTGTGAGAAAACCTTTCCTTCCCAATTGGAACATCTTGCCTCCTGGAGTTTGTCCCTTTGAAATTGCTTCCTTGGAAATTTTCTTGCCAACTTAAAAATTGTATAATTTTCATTTTCAGAAGTGAATATGAAAGTCTAATATGAGTGTGAAAATCTAAAATCTAATGTGAAATTCTCCAGAATCAAAAAAGGACTCCTGCTAAGATCTTGGAAGCCACCAAAAGTCTCTTTTGAGTTGGGCAGGATTAATACATCTAGGAAATATATACAGGCAGTCCTCGACTTATTTTACGACCTTTTTTGACACAGTTGCTGAGTGAACCACTACTGTTAATAAGTTAATCACACAGTTGTTAAGTGAATCTGGCTTCCCCCATTGACTTTGCTTGTCAAAAGGAAGGCTGCAAAAGGGGATCACGTGACCCTGGGACACAGCAACGGTCATAAGTAGGAGCTGATTGCCAAGCATCTGAATTCTGATCACATGACCATGGGGATGCTGCAAAGGTGGTAACTGTGAAAAACGGTCATAAATCAAAAAAATTTCAGTGCTGTTGTAACATTGAATGGTCACTAAATGAAGTATTGTAAGTCAAGGACTCCCTTTAGAAGCATAGAATATGTATCCTAGAGTGCAGTGGATGGAAGCCCGGAAGAAACCATAATATTAATGAAAAAATTGACTGATTTTAAGGCATTAGCTGGTTTTAAAATCAGTGGCAAATAGACAAAGAAGTTGACCAAAATATGAAAATGGAAGACCAAAAAGAATTGATGGGAAAAGCGATTTAAAAGAAAAGTAAGACATTTGGGTATTCTTACAAAGAATACAAATTCTATGTCAAAATAATTATGACAAGGCATGGAGTGAAATCAAGAAGGATTTGTTAAGATGGAAAAAAAATTGCAATTGTCGTTGGGTAGAATTTCTATAATTAAAAATAACTATATTACCTAGAGACTGATCTATTATAAACAATATCTATCTGGACAATGGGTGCACTACTAAAGAAATGGCAGGAAGATATATATAGGTTTCCTGCTCACGCAGGACACCCTATACCAGTGATGGCGAACCTTTGAGAAACAATGCCCAAACTGCAACCCAAAACCCACTTATTTATCGCTGGATGCCATGGCCCACTGGATGGCTGTGGCTGCGGTGGTCACAGCAGACTGGGTGGGCGTGGCCACCTGGATGTTGCTCATGGGGAGGGACACTTGGGGTTGAGCAGGGTTGCGCCAGCTGCGTTTGGGACGCCTGGAGTAAAGAATGGCTGCGGCGGCAACGTGCCTTTCCCCTTCGTGGCTGTAGACATTTCCCTCTGATCGGTCCAACACATCCGAAAGGGAGATGGGTGGGAGCTGCCGGGCAGAGGTCGCAAAAGGAGGAGAGGACCCTGGAGCGGATGGCATGGGGCCACGCGGTGGGACAACCTGATTCCCCGCCTGTGGGATCACAGACTGGCTGAGGGCAGGGAAGCCATTGTCCCCGGTTTCGGCCAAGTGGTGTGTGTGCCACCAGGCGGAGCCCACAAAACG